GGAACATAGTGAGGCTATTATATATATATATATATATATATATATATATATCTTATAACCTTTAATAAAGAATATGATTGTTGTTAGGTGTTTGACACATACCATATCACATAAGTAGATAATGGTAAATAACAATATATTTTTTCCAAACAACTTCAAAAATATTTAGTAATTTTTACACTTAATCATTATCTTTAACTAATGAATATTTCACTTATTATTAATCGAAAGCACGATTGAAATTGAAAAAAAGAAAACAAAGAACTAAAGAATTTGAAATTCTTTTTGATATTTTATCAATTAGATAGAAGGTGGAAAAATCTAGGATTTTGAAATGAAATGGAGATGATGAGATTAAGCCTCACCAAACTTCCGTCTCATATATTAATATGTACTTAAGACTCATTTTAAAATTCAATGTTATTGTCAACTAATAAATTTTCTTAAACCCTAATTCCTTACAAAATGAAAGCCTAAGTTTCATTATTAACAATCAATCCCTTGAATACTTTACAAATGAAATTTCTTTAAGCATTAAGGTTTCAAAATGACTAATGAATCAAGTTACATCCCTAAATATGAGGTTCATTAAATATTTTTCTTTAGCTCTAGATTTCAAAAGTATTTTACGATAACATTTAAATAAAAAAAATCAAACCATGGACAATCAAAATTAACTACAACAAGTATTGAGCAAAAAATTAAAATACTAATATTAAAGAGAAAAGATGAATATGTGTGTCTGTGCATGTGTATGAGCCAAGATAAGTTGATATTAGGTGTAAGTCTAAAAATTTACACCAAATCTTATACCTCTAATAACTTTTTGTATAATGCAAAGTCGTTAAATTGAATGATATTATACTCAAGATCGTGTGTAGAGTTATGCAACCTTTGAATATAGGATCATTAATGTCTTTAATATTATTACTTAGTAATAAGAAAAATTATGGAGTTGCACATATGTGGCCCACATGAAATTTAGCATCACAATTATAGCATAGGTTAGGGACTCTACATTCTTGCAGTTGAACTTGGGACAAACTTTGTATAAGGAGGGGAGAGTTGGTTGAGGAAGATGTGGTTATAGATGGGTTAGTAGTGAGTTTATATGTAGAAAGAATGGATGGATAGGTTCAAAAAGAACGAGATTTGGAATATTTAATTTTGAATTCGATCAATTTGGCTAACTTAATAGCTTGGGTAACATCAATAGGTTTAAGGATAGCCAATTTGCATTGAATCTCCTCTGTTAGGCTAACAATGAAATGGTTTATGAGTGTAAGGGGTACAAGCCAATAATATGACACCTTTTTACCAAAAAAAATTAGTTTACAAGATTCAAATTTATAATTAAACTTGATCGTTTCAGTAAAAGAGTTCACAAATTCTTCATAAAATAAAACTCTTCAATAAAAGAAAAATATAATTAAGTTCTCAAAATAATCTATATTGCACAATTGTCTAATTATATAAAATTTCAACAAGTTAAAGTCATAAAATTAATACACTCTATTAGACTAAAAGAAATATAAACTATCTAACCTTAATGTCACACTATCATAGTATGATCATAGAGTAACTAATGAAGTACATATCAAGCATTGCTTCCATCAAAATCCTCTTCTAGTACCTGATCAATGTCTACAAATGGTGATCGTCCAAAACACAAACAATAAAAAACAGGGAATGAGAATATATCGCATCCATGTATAGTACATATGAAACATAAGAGTAGCTAATGGCAACACTTATCTCAATTACCCTAATTCACTTTATATTCATTTAAGCAACCCAATCAATTGCAAATAATATATATAGACTCGTGCAATGCATGCATATAATTTTATATGCCTGTGGTACCATTCTCCTCCTCCTCCTCATCAACTTAAAATAGCCTAAGAGTCATAGAATGGAACTATCCCATTTACAGTGTAAGGACCACCCTATCTGAAGTGATCCCCACCGATTCATCCTCAACTAGGGGATGTCTATCAATGTCCCATCAAAGTATTATAATTGAACATGATTAACTCCCATATCACAATATCCTACAACGAAACATGTATGCATGAACTCTACCAACACCACTACATCAACACATACATACAACAATTAATGCAACTATGCTAGATTGCAGTCCTGGACTTATCCACCATATCTTGCCACATCACCTCATAGTGACCCACCACAAAATGCATCATCATATATTCTCTACAAGATTCTTGTTTGACATGGTGTCATCTACATCTAGCATGAAGAGGTTTGAGACCTCGCTACCTAATTTGTGCCCAACATGGATGCCCACATGCCGAGTGCTAAAGATTCAGGGACCCCTTTGGAACTAACTCGCTTGATGTGATCTGGGTCACGCTTGTTGTCACCTTATCTAAAAAATAATGTTGAAAGGCATCGAGCGAGACACCCTTAGCACAACATATAGAAGTTAATATTCTCCAAAAATCCTTGTGCTTGGCATGATTCCCTCCATGCCCAACGTAGACATCTGAATTCATCATGCCTAATGTTACCACAAATTCTACACTTTGCAAAATTGCGAACTATGATATACAAGGTCCTCTAAACCCATCTTCAACCATTAATCAATCTCTTCCTCTCAAATATTCAATAAAAACAGCATATAACACATATAGAACACGCATATAAGGCCAATTTATGCAAATTCATCTAATTACAAAATAAACCCAAAATTATGTATACAACCATTACCCTCAAACAAAATATCATTTTGTATACAATAAATAAGCCACAAAAATACAATCATAAACATCATAAAATAAAAGTTTCACACACAAATCATACTTAACATTAACAGAGACTCATTTAAAAGCCGAAAAGGCTTAGGGATCATGATGGAGAAGGTAGGAGAAGTGATTGAAGATCCTCTCCTTAACTTCACCTAAGCTCGGATCCACTTCAAGGAAACTTGTGACCGAAAACAAAAACTCTTGGAAGGAAGAACTTCTTCGAATGAAAAGGCCTAAGCCAAGGATGGAAGCATCCAAGCTTAAGCAATCAAGAGGTTGCTCACTTCAAAAGGTAGGAACTAGGTTAGTTCTAGGGTTTTTGAAGGCACTCTCTCTTTCTCTCTAATTCGGTGACTCTTGAGGAATTTGCTGAAGAATGATTCAAAAAATTCAATATATTCAAAAGTGTGTACAATGAGTGAAGGATTCACTTAAGTAGCCACGGATTTGAGTAGCATT